AGTCGGGTAACACCAAAATGGGAGAAGTAGTTAACTTTCTCTTCAGCTTTTGAAAACTCTGCTCACACACATCTATCCAAATGAAGGGAAATCCTTCTGGATAAGTGGAGTTAGAGACATCGCTATTTTGGAGAAATCCCATATAAATCTCCTATAGTAACCCACCAACCCAACAAATTGAAGCTTCTGATCTCAAATGCATTCCCCAACTTCTCTCATTGTAACATTGCCTTAACCTTGGTTGGGCCCATTACAATCCCCTCAACTGAGATCACACGACCCAAAAACATCACCTCAAACAACCATAACTCACACTTGGTGAGCTTCACATATAACTATTTCTCCCTCAGCACCTCCAAAACCAACCTCAGATGCTCACGGTGATCCTTTAAAGACTTCGATTAGACTAAGATATCGTCAATAAACACCACCACAAATCTATCCAAGAAAGGTCAAAAGAACGTGTTCATGTAATCCATGAACGTCATTAGAGCATTACAACATACTCATCGTGACCATACATAGTCTTAAAACCAGTCTTCAATATGTCACTCTCCTTCAATTTTATTTGGCGATAAGTAGATCTTAGATTTATCTTTAAAAATACCAATGCTCCTCTGAGATGATCCATCTAGTCATTTATTTGAGGTAGAGAATATTTGTTCTCAATGGTCAACTTACTGAGTTGTCAATAATCCACACACAACTAGGCATCATCATCCTTCTTTTTAACCAACAACGTTGAAGCATTCTAAGGAAACACACTTGGTCTCACCATCTAGTTTTCCAACAGCCCTTCCACTTGTTTTTTCAACTCTACCAACTTAGTTGGGGCCATCTTGTAAGAAGCTATTGATACTGGCCTAACACCTGCACCAGATTAATATTGAACTCTATGTCCCTCATAAGAGCTAACCTAGGCACCACATTTCGAAACACCTTTAAGAACTCCCTCACCACATCAATCTCACTGATCACTTTCTCAGTCTCCACACTCATAATAGTAGACAACATGAAGCACTCAGCTCCTCCCCTTAACGACTCTTCAGCTTGGCTAGCTGAAACCAACACATCATCTTTCACTAGAGGAAACACTAACTCTCTTCAAGCATAATCTATAAGGATGTGATTGGAAGATAACCAATCTATCCCTAAGATTATGTTGATCTTCACCATGGGCAAATAGATCAATTTCACCTTGAACTCCCTACCAACACCTCTATAGGTTACCTAACACACATCTCCTACATCACAACAAAAATAGTAGTTAGAGTATAAACACACTAGATCAACATGCAAAGCAAATACAAGTATTCTTAACCTCCCCACATAAGCAACAAAGATAAAGGAATGTGTAGCTTCTGAGTCAAACAAATACATAACATCTTTACCTATCGCCCTGCCCTTTCCCTTCATCGAGTCTAATAAAGTAGATGCCTTTACACTAGATAGAGCAAAAACCCTCCCAGAAGATGTAGGCCTAGTTGGCCTTGGAGCACTCCTTGCTTGAATTGATCTTGCTTGAAAATCCTTGGAAATGTGGCTTAAGGTGACACACTTGTAGCACACATTGCTTGGGTGAGAATAATCCCAAGCAAAGTTGGATCCTCCACATTTGAAACGTCTCATTACCTAAACTCTTTTCTAAGGAGTAGCAAGCTAAGGTCCCCTAGTGACAGTACCTCCCTATTGCTAAGCAAGCCTATCATAAGACCCCCTCTACTAACCACCACTCTTGGATTTTAATGATCCATTATGATGTTTGGTAGCATTGCAACCACCACCATCCTTCAACCTCTCCACTATCTTCACAATTCTCAACCAAGGCCAAAAACTTTACTATCGACATGGGAACCACAATCCTCTTCAGCTCATGCCTCAACCCCTCTACAAACTTTCAACACTTTCAAGCCTCAAAGATAACCTAGGTGTAGAAATGAGCCATATACTTAAACCTCATTGCATACTTTGACATCGTCATACACCCCTAATGTAACTGCATGAACTTTGCCTCCCGAGCATGTCTCGCACTCTTTGAGAAATAATTCTCAAGGAAGATCCTCTTGAAGCAATCCTAGTCCACTACCACACCTCTGGCCACCAACAATTGATGGGTAGCCCTCCATCAGTACTCAGCTTCCCTAACCAACATGTAGGTAACATATGCCAACTTCATCTCAATTGTACACCCAAGCATCAAGAATATATTCTCTAACTCGTAGATCATTGGTCAACCACCTTCAGATTCACCTCTCCCTTGAACTGATGAGGATGACACTTTCTAAACTCAACCAAGTCCTTGCTTTATTACGACCTTGTCGGTTGTACTGCCTCCACTCTATCAAAATGAGCATTTCGGTGATGCATAACTACAAGCATCATCTTCATGGCCCCAACTATTTAATTGTATTGAGGTCTAAACATTATACAAATATTAATAAACTATTCAACAACATTGTACCATAACCCTAGATAACCAACTACACCACAAATCACGTAGATGACTCACAATAGAAACCTAATGGGATCACCCTTATAGAGTGCCCAAAAGAATTAAGTAGCTCTAATACCGTAAAATTGTAACGACCCACCATGATCCCTACACCTTGTGGAATCAACACTAGCAACAGAACTATAGATTTCTAGAACATACAAGTTAAAAAAAAAGGAATGTGTTGTTAGAAATGGCTTTATACAAGAGGGGTTGAATTGAATATTTAAAAATTTATTTTCAAGATCTTTAATTTTCAAAAACTTTTCTAAAATCTTTTCAAAGAAGTTTATTGATTTAGATAGCATAGGATGTAATATTGAGATTGGTTTCTAAATTTAATAACAAATTATATGATGAACCCTATATGATACGCAAGATTCAAATATAATACATTTAACACATGCAATCAATGTTGATAAGAACTCAAATAAAGAGTATAGAGATAAAGGATAGGACACAGGGATTTATATTGGTTCAGCCACCACCACTGTGACCTACATCTAGTCTCCAATCAAGCTGATTGAAAATTTTCACTATCTTTAGATTGAGAGATTATAGTCACACACATATACCATAAACTCCTAGAATCATAAAAGTAAACTCATTTCTTAAACCCCAAGAAATGTCCCTACTCAAGAACAATGATAAAGAAAGTTATAGAATGAATTCACCTAGATATAGAATCGATTAAATAAGTGAATCAGATTTTGAGTAGTTTAGAGCCTTTCTCTCTAGTTGGATGATAATGATTTTTGAATCCTTTCTTGAAATTACCCACAAAGGATCATAGGATTCTTTCACAAAGAAAATAGAGAATTTGAAAGAACTTTTTTCACAAGATATTTCACAAAGTTACAAGTATTTTAGATTGTAAGTTTTGAGTTTGAAAAAAGATATAGAACTCTTTAACTGAAATAATCAATTATTTTCATGGATAATCGATTATTTTGTTCTTGGTGAATCTAGAAATCAGTCAAGGACACTATAGTCAATTATGTGTTGGAATAATCAATTATTACAAAGAACTATTTCTAAAATAATCAATTATTTCACAATGATAATTAATTAATACAGTATGTTTTTCAAAATAGGAAAAAAATAATGTAAATAATCGATTATTTCAAGTGGATAATCGATTATTTTGAGGGATAAACTCAAATTCTCAAAATTTCAAATTTAAAACCAATTTAAAAACATTTTCATCACCAAAGCAAACATAAACATAAAGCAATACAATTTGCACTCTCTTAAAACATGAGGCACTCTTTGTAATCATCAAAACATAAACTTAAACTAAGTCTTCATCTTGAGCTTGATCAACATATGTCATATATATGGAACGTGAATATAAAAGTAAAACATTTATACCAATATAAAACATATATACAATAATCTCAAGATAAATTCTATGTCCTAGTGTTAATCGATTGAGCACACTTATAAAAGCTACACCAAAGGTAGCAGTGACACCACCAAATGGTCACACCACTTGCCAACAATAACTCTTTAAGTCTAGTCTTGATCTACTCCCATACAACGTATGATCATAACAGTTTAACAACATGGAAAGAAAAGGGTAAGTTAAAGATAAAAAAATATGTAAGTATAGTAAACATATCTATATCATACCACATATCATGAACATACTTGAAGACTACATAGAGAATCCATCAAGCATCTCACACAAACATGTCAGCAAGACATCCACATTATGCATGTGGAAATTATGAATTTGAAGCTTGAGCTAAGAATCAGAGAGTTTGGGTTAATGTAGAGCTTGTGAGCTCAAAGCTTAAAAATTCATCTTCTCCCTCCTTGTCATTCTTAGTTATTTGGAGTTTGAGGTAAGGCAATTAAGATGAATTGGTTTAATGATTTGATGAATTTTTGTTATTTTTTCATCAAATGTGAACATGTATGTGGTTGAAATCAAATTTAACGGTGAGGAAGACGAGTTTTAGTTGTTTTTAACTATGGGAGGTGATTTTGGTGAATGATGCAAATTGAGTTACATGTGTTATTTTCTTGATGATTTTGAATCTTATATGATGTGTATGGATTATTTGATGCATTGCATGTGTAGTTTGACTATTTTTCAAGTGGACTGAATCAGAAAACATTTTTTTTCAGTTATGAATGTAAAAAAAAAAATGAAAAATATCTTTTTTTGTGAGAAAAAAGTTTTTTTTTATATAAAAGAAAACAAAGCTAAAAGACTAAAACATCACTAAAATCACATATGTCAACAATTTAAAAAAACTTTAAAATGTCTTTTTGCTGGCTTAAAGAATTTATATATAAGAAGATATAGTAGATATAGTATATATGCCATTGGAATAGCATAACCATTTATTTATTTTTCTAAAAGCAAGTGCAGTACTTTCCTAAAGGAGAAGCAGATGGTTGCGAGAAGAGCATGACACGTCTCCTTGGTTGCACCGATCTTGTTGCCACGTACCCTCCCTTCCCACCTCCATTACCACTTATTTAAACCACCAACCTCCACCCACCTTCAAAACAAAACAACAACACTGAAAATAGTAGTCAACACTTTTATAAACAAAAGAAGATGAGTCAGGAGCAGCCAAGGCGTCCCCAAGACGGTGCCATCAAATACGGCGACGTTTTCAACGTCTCCGGCGACCTCGCGAAGAAGCCCGTCGCACCGGAAGATGCGGCCATGATGCAAAGCGCGGAAACCCGAGTGTTAGGCCGAACCGCACCCGGCGGAGCAGCCTCCGTCATGCAGTCCGCCGCCACTCGGAATGAACAGGCCGGCGTTGTCGGTCACGGGGATGTGACTGATGTGACCGGCGACCGCGGTGTTATTGTGTCGGAAACTAAAGTCCCCGGAAGACGCATAATAACTGAAGCAGTCGGTGGACAGGTACGTTCTGTTTTTCTTTTTTGTTCGTGTTTAGGTTATTTGTTTTGAGTCTTTGACTAATAATAATGTTTTATTTTGTTTAAGGTTGTGGAGCAGTATTCTGAACCGACTCCGGTTGAGGCCGGACGAGTGAGTAGGGAGAGTGCAATAACAATAGGGGAAGCGTTGGAAGCGACGGCTCAGACGGTGGGTGAGAAGCCTGTGAGTCTGAGTGATGCGACGGCGATTATGGCTGCCGAGACGAGAGCTACCGGAAATAATGTTGTAACGCCGGGTGGCTTAGGTGCTATGGCTCAGTCAGCGGCGGCTTACAATGCTGACTGCAGGCGTCTGGAGGATAAGGTGAAGCTTGCCGACGTTCTGAGCGGAGCCACCGCGAAGCTGCCGGCGGACAAGGAAGCGACGCTGGAGGATGCGGAGGGGGTGGCGAATGCTGAGGTCAGGAACAACCCGAATGCCACCGCCACTCCCGGTGGCGTAGCCGCTTCTGTGGCGGCAGCCGCTAGACTCAACCAAAATGTTATGTAAAATGAGATAATTAATATGTTTTGGTGTTTCATGTTGTGTTGTAGTCTAGAATAAGTGGTGGGGGAGTGTGTTTCTTTATCGTATGCTTGTGTTCTAGTTTCGTTATAAGGAATCTTCTGAGATGTACTACTCGTTTTCCATGCAAGAACTTGTCTACATACTATATATGCTATGCTTTGCTGTCGTTATCAGTAATTATATAATATCAGTTCATCTTATATGGTGTTTTTCAATCTTGTAATTTCTTATTTGCAAATCGCAAACATTGTAGATCAAAAAAAAAAAAAAAAAAAGGTTGTGAATCAAGAGAATTAATTCTTTTTATAGTGACAAATTAGACTTCAGACTTTCTAAGACAGATCATCCTTATTTTCAGTGTCTATGTATTTTGAATTATATTTTTTTAATAAAAAAAACACTTGTTAAAAAAATTCATGAATATTTTCAATTACTACTTCCTCCCCTCATTATATGGTCCATTTAACTAAATTACATTTATACACTATCAGTATCAATTATATCTATATATCTATATCTTTTAATTGTGTTATTTTTTTTTAAAGAATTATAAATATATTTATAGTACATGGTATAATTAAAATATATAGTTGGTTATTAATTTTACATTAACAATGTATAGGTAATTAATTCTTAAAAAAAATAATTATAAATTTTTATCGTTAAAAAATAATAATTAATTTAGTTAAGAGATTGTTTTTAAGCTTTCCTAATTTTTTTAAAAAAAATTAGTTAATTTAGTTAAATAAAAATAAGTTAATTTAGTTAAAAGTATTAATTATGTTTTAGAAAAAAAAAATTTGAAATAATTTTTTAATAATATTAGCTGTTAATAATTTAAACTACTTTTTAAAATTAATTTTGTACTTAATTATTTTTTATTTAATTTAGTTACATTTTCAAAATTAACTCCCTATTTTTTACTTTTACCATTTTTCACAATTTAAATTATTTTTAAATTAATTTTTTTACTTGATATTTTTTATCTGATTAAATTACGTATTTTTAAAATTAAATATTTATTTTTATTTAATTATTTTTACCTAATTAATTAATCTGTAAAACAACTTTTATCTTATTTTTAAATATTTATTATTTTTTTTAAAAAAATAATGAAATAAAATTAATTTAGAGAAGATATAATTAATCTAACTGACCATTACAAAAGTATAAGAAAATGTTCAACGAAAGTAATATTTTTTTTAGAAAATATACAGTTTATGTAATTAAAATAGTTTATGAAAAGTATATGAGAAAATATCTAACTAAAGTAATATTTTTTAGAAAATATTTTTAGAAAATATATAGTTTATGTAATTAAAATAGTGTATGAAAAGAAGATACAGTTAACTGTAACCGACAATTAACAAGAATTTGTGATTACAAGAATTTGTGATTAAATAAAAATATTTTAAAGAAGATATAATTAATATATTTAAATTATTTTTTAAAATTAATCTTTTTATTTTATTTAATCATTTCCTATTTAATAATAACTTTTCATTTTCACTTAATTATTTTTATAAAAAAAATAACATTTCTTATTTAATTATTATTTAATTAAACTACTTTTTTAGAATTAATTTTTTCTCTTTTCATTTAATTATTTTTAACTTAATTAATTAATTTTTAGGACAGAAATATATGTCTCTCCATATTCAGAAAATTGGGACATCCCTTATTAGAACTTATATATTACTTTAAAATTTAATTAAAATACATTGATTATATATATATATATATATATATATATATATATAT